GTGTTTGAACTTTGAAGATCAACTTGGGAAGGAAAAAACATTTAGAAATCCTACCACTAGCCAGACTGATAGGAGCTGGTCAAAATTGGAAGGCTACGGCCTACGATCTTGGATATAATTATAATATAAGTGAAAAAAACAATGATAACAAAAAAAAAGTTAAATGGGCAGCAGCAGCTAGTATAGTGTTGATCTTACTATTTTGTACTTCCAATTTCCTTTCAATTTCCGAAATGAAGTGAACCTTTCAATGCCACACCTTCACAAGCTGCGTAGGGGATTGGAATAGGATTATGACGATTTTGCGTGAGTTTTAAGGGACAATATTTTATAACTGCGTTGGTAACTCAGGAGTCTGGTATGGTTTGTATTGATTGAAAGGTTCTAGTGAAAGGAGTTCATTGTAGTTGTAATATGATGTGGTGGAGGTACTCATTCTTAAAGTATAATAGTATAATTTTCATATTATTTTATTTTTTTATGGTGAAAAAAGGTGATGAGATATCTGATATCAATTAGGGGTTGGTAGGGGAATTCTCGAATTGTTAGAGCGGGAACATGGATGTAGAGTTTGTTATGAGTTTTGATAAACAACATTTTGCAACAAATTATTTAGTCTTACTAGCAACTCAACTAGAAGATTTACAGTGATTTAAGTCTATGTTATCAAGTGCTAAATCTTGGCTAAAACATTATATTGTAGGGGTGACTTAATTCCAAATTGTAAGATTTCAATTGATAAGGTTTTAACATTTCTCATTGTACTAATAACATTTCTCATAGAGTATTGTCCACAAAAGATGATTAAGGTTGGGATAAGAAAAATAGAAAAAAAAAAAAAAAAAAAAGGAGTTCGAGGGCAATGCGTGAAATTAATACTACTCATATTATTTTCTTATTTTTTTTCTTTTTGGTGAACTCATATCTTCTAGATAATATAAAGGGCCGGGGGAATGGCAAATTTTGGTACGGTTTCCTGGCCGTTGCCCTTCCCCCACTATGCACGTGTCGTCATGCGATTGACTCTCATAAATATTTGTCCTTTTCCTCCATTATTTTCTTCAATCTTTCCTTTCGGTTGCCAGTTTCTTTATTCCGCTCTCCTCAAACCGGAAGGCTTTGCAGTAATCATCAGAGTAAAACAGCCTGCTAGGTTCATTTGGCTCTTCCCTTTCCGACAACACCATCTCCCTTCTTTCTTCTTTCTGATTCCAATCCTTACTTTATTCAAGGTTTGTGCGAACACCACTGTAGTAGGAGGCGTTGATTAATTTCCATCGGGCATTTTGCAGAGCACATGTCGATTGAGGAAGAAATTGAAGACCCCATGTAAAAGCAAGTGAAAAAACTATTTTAAGGCCAAATTTCTTCCTCGTAGTTATTAAATTTGAGTCCAATTTGGTCTTCTCTTGTCAAGATTCTGCGATATATCCAATATAAAGGGTGCTGAGCATTCAATTCGATGATTCTTATTCCTTAATTAACCACAGTAAAAAATTTACTAATGTATATGTGGCTGGTGGCTACTAATATTTTAATTGCAGGGAAGGTTAAAAATAAGTGGATCTTAATATTTAACCATAGTAAGAACCGTTGTTTTGCACAATAATTATTTAGATTCATCCCTGACCGGGTTAGTACGAACTACCGCATGAGGTGCGGTGCACCACTTTCTAGTTATATATTCTATGCACAATAGATCATACTGAGAGCATTAGTAGAAAAGTACTTTGTTGAGACAATCAAAATGTAGAAACAAAAAAAAAATAAAAAAAAAATCCCCTTTTTGAGGAGATGATGCATGGAGCATTACAAATTTTGTAACGCGCAACATAGAATGAATTTTTTATTAGAGTTATTTCCCTTAGCCCTGTAACTTTTTTTGCGGTATTACAAATTCGGTATCCAAAGTCATTGTTCCGATTAATTCGGATTTAAACAGATAGGTATTTTACTGGAGACAAAAATTCTCTCAAAAGTATTTTAATCAATGTGCCAATGCCCATGCCCAAGTTTAAACCCAAATCATAATTAAGCTAGCCCAATATGTTTATTACTGGGACCAAGTACTTGTCGATAGTTATGTAACTTTTTAAATAAACATGTAGGCAACGATCTAATAGCAAAGGGTTATTAATAGATTTTTTTTTTTATAAAAAAAATAAGTCCAGAAAGAGTGACGTGTGTTGTAAATTAAATGGAAAAAAGTGTTAAATAAATAGTATTCCTTTTTTCATGAAAATAGTGCATATTGTATATTAGAAATTGTAATAAAAAAGAATATAATTATAACAAAAATAGTAGTTGAGACAAATTTTTTTGTGTTTCAATAAGTGGTATAATAAAAGATGTATGGCCTAAATTGCGTGTGATATTATTAAATAGTGTTTACTAAAATCGAGTCACACTAGGTCATTAGATATTTAAAAGCTTATTATTAGGTTGTCATTTAATAATACACTCTAAAGGGATTCACTAAATAAGCTAATAGTACACAAACAACCTAAATAATATACTTATCCTAGTGTTTCATTGTATCAACACATTTTTTTTTTTAATTTTCCAATAGGACACTTTTCAAATGAATGTCCATATTTTATGAGAAGTGTCCTATCATAAAAGTATTAATAGTCCCTATCTATTATAGTGGTATTTCAAAATTTACAATGTAAAAATATTTTAAAAGACAGAGAAAGTATAAAAGTGAAGAACAGAAGTGAGAACAAACTGAAAAATAAAAATTCTGATCGTAATTATTGGTCTCGTGCATGTGTAAAAGGTGCCAGACCAAATCATTAAGTTAAAATGGTTGAAAGCAATCGTGACAAGATAGTTATCATCATCTTCCTCCATTCATTTGCATGATCTGATGATAATGAAGGCTTACCTTATATTACAGCCCTTATTTTCCTTGCATAAGTGGGTAAATTTTAGTACTCTCCAATCAAATGAATACACTATTTTCTTTTAATTCTTTGTTTCTTCTTTTTCTTATTCTTTCTTTCTTTCTTTTTTTTAAAAAATTTTTAAACGCGCCATTAATTTTAATCTCACCTTCATGATTTGTATAATACTCTGTTTCGAATGGATTATCTGGTGCTCATTAAATGGACACTAAGTGCACATGACACAAGTGTTTTTTTTTTTTGGGTTAACAGTAAAAATCATCTTCATTCTACTTCTCAAATTCCAACTGTTTACGTCTACCTGATAACCAACTACTCCTTCCGGTTCTCAATATAAGATATTTTGATTTTTTCTAAATTTAACCTAATATATATTTTTAGTTGACAAAAAAACTTTAAAAATATTTTATAACAATCAAGAGAATGCTAAGGAATGTGAAAATATATTTTAAAGGATTTTTACCAACTAAAAATGTGTACTATGTGAAACCTAAGATAAAATCAAAATGTCTTATGTTAAGGATCAGAGGGAGTATTACAGTAGCGCAACACTTTTTACACCCTGTACTTTACATATTACCAAACTAAGCATCAACTATATATTTCTCTTTTACAGTAAATTTCTTGTGACAAAAATAAACCCTCACTCTGATCTCTTCTTTGATTAACATCAGTACCTGATCTTCTGGTCTGCACCGCTGAAACAATCTCCAGTTCCTCTCTTTCCATATATGGTATATGGCTGCCATTAGACTTGCAATCAAAATACTCGTTTTCAATTTAGCTTTCCTCCAAACGAATTTCAATTCCTGTCTCCATTGGTCATTCTGTCCATGCAAAGATCTCACTCCCAGCCATCTTTTAATACCTTCTAGTACATTAGAAGAGTAACAGCATTCAAAAAATAAATGGTGCACACTCTCAACCTGATTGACAGTTTTTGTCAGCAACAGCAACCTGACACTGCCTCAATCTATCTTTAGTCCAAAGCCTATCTTTCCACATTAGCCATGCTATGAAGGAATGCCGGGGAATGTTCAGACTAGCCTATATCCACCTAGCTTCCTGCCACAGATCTGCCCTGCCAATCAACCATTGATAACCATCTGTGATGCTATATTTTCTATCCTTCCTGTGTTTCCATACCGTACCATCAAATTCCGACCTAACTTTATCCCGCAGCTTCAATAGTTGCTTCCAATGCCAACCACAGTCTGATTTTGTTTGGACATTCCGTATATCGTCCTTTTTCAAATACACTTCATGAGTCCATGACTGCTGAAGTTGTTCTTTTTCGAAGACTTCCATGACTGCTGCAATGAGATCCTCCCCCGTAAGGTGCTAAGTTTTCTTGAAAAAGTCGCTTCCAAACCTATCAGGTTCCGGGCTCTTATTCGAATGTATCCCTTTCTTTAACCTCCTTCTTAGTGACAGGCCTGATGACATAAGTGTTACAAGGCCCATTTTGTATCTAGTTTTTCCTGAATATCTCTTATTAGCCCTAATGGGTTTTTCACGTATAAAACTTCATGTGTTAGTGACTTAATGTCATCGAACTGAATTTGAAATTTGCATTTAGTCATTATATTCTTGTTATTTCAATGCATTATGGAACAAAGGTACTGTTGCTTGAATTTCCCTTTTGCGTTTTAAGATGATTACGTAATTAATTATTGCTTCTAATTTTTCCAGATTTTTCAACCAAAAAAAATAATAATACACGACTTGTTACAGTTTAATCAATACAATTTGTCATATAGAGAGCTTCTTTGAACTTTTTTTATGATGGAAAAATAAACAAATCTGAGGAATTTTTGCGGACATCGCCAATATTTTGCACGCTTTATGAGTAGATTACAGTATTAGACATGGCAATAAGAAACGAGTATTTCCGTTTTCACCTTTCACCTAAAAGCGAAACCTTTATATCACCAGTTTAACGCCTTTACTTGTGTTTACCAGGCCAATACACGACTTTCTTTGGAAAACGCAGAAGCGCCAGACTTTTTAAAATGCGCCGTGTGTTGACGAACTCCGTCAAAATTCTCTAAACCGCCGTCAAGCCATTAACTCTAAACACCCTGCAATGTCTCAATGCAACTAGCAGCAAAGCCGCTGCTCCTCCGTCCAAATCCACTGCCGGGACTGAGAATGCTAACTTACGCCTCTCCCCTATGCATTTTCGTACACCCAGACAACAACGGTGGTTTTCCGGACCGCGCAATGAGACCCGCCGCCACCCGCGACACCTCATATTGCAAAAACCCAAATCTCTCCATACTTTCAAATTCAAAAACTGGGCTCTCAAATTCCCAGAATTTCCCCCAACTCCTCTCTCCAATTAAGTGTTTCTCCTCCTCCTCCTCAGCAATGAACGCAATACCTATTTCAAACTCACTTGAACCGAAGATTGGGAACACTGAAGCTTCCAACGACGTCGTTCCTGACTCGCTGCTGTCGCCTTTGGTGGTTGTTTCATTCTACAAATTTGCTGATTTTCCGGACCACGCTGATTTACGGAAGCCTCTCAAGGAGCTTTGCGAACGACTGGTAATTCTCTTCTAGTATTTGTTTATTTATTGAAAGCTTGGAAAAATGGCGCGTTGACATTTGATGACTTTACTTTTGTTGCTAGTTTAGTTGCTTGTTGGTGTGTGCTAGTACTCTGTATTAAAGCTGAAGCTTTTTTTGGTTGGTTCGTGCCTTACTCAGCTGATATTGTTCAGCGCGTTTCAGGTGGCATCATTCTTGCTCCAGAAGGAATTAATGGGAGTATATGTGGAACTCGCGATTCGGTGGAGAATGTACTTTCATTTATTCAAGCAGATGATCGCCTGAAGGGTGTTCGACGGGTGGAGACACCTGTAAGTCCTGAGGAGGAAGCTATTCATCATGGACACATGAGCGCTTCTCCTCTTGCAGCTGGAGAAGATGCTCCTTTCAGATGGGATCATGTGAGAGTGAAGTTGAAAAAGGAGGTGCGTTCATTTACCCAGATCAATCTATCCTACGGTGTGTTTTTCCCATTTGAACTGAAATCTATTTGTCGCCGAAAAGCTTTTTGCCAGTTCACTGAATACCTGCAATTCTAAACAGATTGTTACCCTTGGCATGCCTTCTGTCTCGCCAATTGAAAGAGTCGGGGAGTATGTTAGCCCCAGGGATTGGAATGCACTTGTTAGCGATCCTGACGTTGTAAGTCATTTGCTATTTTTAGTCTTCAAATGCCTCCAACCTTATCAAATCCTTTATTACTAGAATGCTTCATTTGTTATTGTATCATTGATGCTACGAGCTGCTGATAAGAATCATGTGATTTCTAATTTTCTATTATCAGGAGCTGTCTTCACTTTATTGTTGCCCGATCATAGTTTTCCAATTTATAGTTAATCAAATTGAAAAAGAGAAACATTGTAATAATGGTTATGTAGTATCAAATAAACTTTCTGGTTCACAATCCCTACTTCATTATATCTAATAAACTCTAAAGTTTTGCTTTCCTATTTTACCTAAGCCTCCTGCGTATTCGGTAATGAAACATATTGTTTTACTGGTCAATACATGCATATGCTTTGAGGTAAATGCATGTAGCTGTATTACGTTACTTTCTTGATTGGACTTATTCTAAATTACCTGTTCTTATGTAGGTGGTAATTGATGTTCGTAATGACTATGAAACTAGAATTGGAAAGTTTAAAGGAGCAGTTGATCCATGTACTACAGCCTTCCGAGATTTTCCATCTTGGGTGGAGGATAGATTTGGGATTGCCGAAGGTGTTGATCAGGGTGATACAGTTACTTCGGATGGAAGCATGGAAGCTGCATCAAAGGGGAAGGGGAAACTACCTAGAGTGGCAATGTATTGTACTGGTGGAATTCGGTGTGAGAAAGCTTCAAGTTATCTTCTGAGTAAAGGTTTTGAGGAGGTAGTATATTTTACTCTCTGGCCTGTGGATAGGATTCAAGAAATAAATTATGAGGCTGTTCTGCCTGGCAAATTACAAATTAACTTATTGATCTTTGTCATTGTTTCGCTCATCACATTTTATGCACATTAGCTTCAAGCTGCTTACTTAGTTCATCTATCAACCTTATACCTAACTTCTTAAAAATCCTGAGAAGTGATAGAATTAGTGATGCTTGGTTCATATCTTATCTTTTTACCAGGTTTATCATCTGAAAGGGGGAATCTTGAAATATCTTGAGGAAGTTCCCAAGGCTGAGAGCCTGTGGGAGGGAGAATGCTTTGTGTTTGACAAGCGAGTGTCAGTTGAACATGGATTAGTTCAGGGCACTTTCAAACTCTGCTATGGCTGTAAGCAACCCGTGAGTGATGCAGATATGGAGTCACCTGAGTGGGAATACGGGGTATCCTGTCCATACTGCTACTCATCAAAATCAGAAGAAGAGAAAGAGAGGGCTCGAGCTCGGCAAAGCCAGTTTGAGAGATGGGGAATCATTGGTGGTCCAGATAAGGGCCGCCGACCAACAAGTCCAGTTGGGAGGTCCGAGCAGAAATCAAATTCTGCATAACCTGCAGAATGAGATTTTTTGGGAGGTGCAGGTTCTATAGCCAGGTCCCAGGAAACTTAACAGATGTACCATTGACACAACAGAGGAGGATGTGATAGAAAACTGACTTTATTCTTGAATGCAAGACTAGAGAAATTTTTTACTACATTGTATTGCAAATTCTGATGGGATACTATTTATCAGCATTCCGCTTCTGCTGTATAATTCTATTTTGAGTTGGGATCTTCTAGTCGACTGAAAAGTTTTGCTTTCCATTTCAAAAAAAAAAAAAAATGTTTTGCTTTTACTTCGGGGTAAGATAAAAACAATTAAGGCAAATTCTGTATCTTGGGCCCAAAATTTTACATGGTGTCCATTTAATTTATCCTTAATGGGCCAGAAAGAATGTCACCGTCCATGGACGTGTCCAAACCCCGCTGGACGATTTGGTTCGAACAAAAATTCTGATTTTCAATACGAGGCCGCATTTAATACTACTATCCCATTTTTTATTGACGACGCTATCGCTTTCATTTCGCGTTGATTCCTTTTTCAGGCGAACAGCAACTATTTGGGCTTCGATTGATCGCCGGAGACGAAATTTCATAGATCTCAAATAACTGATGGCTGGCCGAGCTGCATCTGGAGTTTTGACGTCCTTGAAGCCGAAATTGCGAATTCAGCGAACCGACGTGCAGGCCGCCGCTATGTGGGGAGTTGCCGCTGGCGCTACCGCGATGTGGGTAGTACAGGTATTGAGACTCTCCTTTGCCAAATTCCTGAATTCGTTATTTCCCTGCATTCGTTTCGTAGATTTAGTTTTCTCATATCCTTATGGGATCTGCCGTTTGTTTGAATAGTTTGAAATATGAGTTGAATATTCATTCTATAAGTTGTTAATCTGCGATCCGTAATATATAATCAATCCCCAGTGCTGAAAGGCTCCCCGCTTTGCTTGGGTATTAACTTGGAATATTAGGGTAATTCCATCCTTTTTGAGGGAATAGGGATTGTTTGAAATCACTGGTGGGTTGGATTTATAACAGGAAATTGTCATTTCCATACATTGACTTACTACGACTTTTTGAATATGCTTTTGTTGCCCATCAGTTCAGGCACTAGTTAAGAGCTGTGACCCTTTGATGTCTTCTCTGGGCAAATCTTCGGGCGCAGTATTTTAGAATTTACTGCCAATTCTTTAGCCTGTTGAGGGTGCATCGTAATTCTGAACATTTTTGTTATGCCAATCCTTTTTCCTCTTTAGGTGCACCTAAGCTATTTTATTCATCTTCTTATTTATCGTGTGCAGCCATTCGATTGGATAAGGAAGACCTTTTTCGAGAAACAAGATCCTGAGGGAAACTAATAGCTGGATTGAATATCAGTTTGATGATACTTGGAGTCACTCTGGCTGATGCAAAAAGATTTGTCGGTTGCTGAGTTTAATAATGTATTCCCTCTTTTCTTTAACGTTAGAACCGGAATGGAGTGTTTTACTTTAATTTGGGAACTTATCAAATGGCAAACTTTGGGTTAACTTACTTAACCTTTTTGCTGTGCACATTTACTTGTTTGTAGATTTCATTAGCTGCAGCTTCCTCTCCCTAGCAGCCAGCATAATGGAATTTTTATTGACATTGATTGCTTCTGCTTGGTAGTTATTCTCAAAACATGCTGTTATTTCATGAATTTGGATTATTTAAGATGTGTTCATTTTATCATAAGATAGGGACTTCCTTTTTCTAGCGGTAAGTTTTGTTGTTAGCTTGGTGGCAACACTTTCGGAAATTTTACTGTTAGCTATGAAAAGTGTAGCTTCTGCTATTGCACAAGCTACATCTTTGCAATTCCAAAGATTCTGAACTTTTTCGTTACTTTGTCATTAATGGTGTTTTGCCATCCTTCCACTGTGAACTGCAGACCTGGAATTACTCAAATTCAGATATTTTGTCCTACAAAAGAACAGGAAACTCGGTTCTTGTTTACTGTTGGTCGTGATGGGATATGTGAACAAGTAGATGAATCTTGATTCTGAGGACTTGGTGGGAATTAGGAATTATGTGTTTCTTGTGCATTCAGCTTTGTGGCTTCATCAGTTGTGTTGGACTTCTTGGTTTTGTTAGCGATGCTATGTATTTTCCGTACGAAAAGATTGGTACATGTTTTTCATTTGGCTGATATAGGAATCCTAATGATTTCAATTGCCTCGGGCAAATTTTCCAAAGAAAAAACTATGTTGTTAAGTTGAGATTGTCTGGAGCATTGGGTTTAACAGAAAACCTTTTGCCAACCTGCATGTTATTGGTTTTGATTTTTGAATCGATTTTCTCTAATGAGCATATTGAATGGATTGGATGCAAAAATAGGATTTCTTCAGCTGTTCACTTTTTTAGTAGTGCATGACAGAGACGTGATTGAAAATGCAATATCAGAATGTAGTATGCGAGAGAGATCAAATTTACCGATAAACAGATTGCTTGGTGTTTGCTACAGGAACATGCTTCACCTGTTTTGTCCTGTCCTATATTTTGCACCCGCTATTCACTTTTTGATTGTCTTTTATCACATATTTAGTGTCCATTTATTGAGCACCAGAGTTGGCAACATTTCCTACAATGGAATGAATCTGTTGGGTCATCAACATTCCTCGGACTCGGATGATAAAAGCTTGTCAGATAGGATATTCCTGTGACCAACTGTCCAAATCTAACCAAAAGATCCAATCATTCCGTTAATTCAGTTTACCGGATCCCAACCGTCAGAATCAGATCCACTTTCCCATATCGGTCTGTGAGTGCTTTTGAGGAATGCTGGATAGCTTTTGTAATCTGGATTCATCTACACATCTCAACAGTTGCATCCAGTGTGCCTTTAGAAATGCAGTTATTCTACAATTTTCTAAACAAAATAGAAACAGTACGTGGAAAACACAATATCGTTGACAAATTGCCGAAATTGTTCTCAAGTTTTATTGAGAAGAATTAGAAATTATTGCAGTTCTTTTGTTATTATAAATAAAAAAAAGTACTGGTCAGGAATATCCTAGGTTAAGTAATAAAATTCAAAAGGCCCAAATTGTAACATCAATCAGCCAATGACATAACCTTAGCGTTTGCAGATCTTACACCGTTGATATTTCCCTCCTGATTCTAAACCGTCCGATCGGGCTAACAAGTGTCCCAACGACCTCCGTAATCCGTCTACGCTTTTGTAAACAAACACCCCCTCCTCGTTGTGTGTTTTTCACTACTCCGATAGTTGGAACCAAAAACTAGGTTTTCCATTGCTGCCGGCTCTTCCCCGTAATAACTGATGCAATTGGCTTCAGATAGCTGAAGCTGGATTGATCTCCCATTTCCAGGTTCTTTTAATTGAACATTTTTGCTGCAAAAACAGCTCTAATTTGTAATTGTTTCGGTTGAGGTGATTATATTTGGTCAAGATGCGATTTTTATGCGAATTAGGACTTTCGGATGGTATTTTGAATGCAGTTTGGGTCATCTTTTTGTGTGTTTTCCAGAGGCCATGGAGAAGGAATTGGTGGAGCTCTTTGAGAGGGTGAAGAAAGCTGCGGATGCGGCCGCCGTTGAAGTTGAAGCTGATTCGTCGGCGGCGGAGGACCGGTGTGTCGACGCCCTCAAGCGGCTCAAGGGGCTTCCTATTAATTATGACGTTCTCGTCTCAACCCAGGTACGGTGGATTTGGGCCAAATTTTCCTTCTTTCTTCCTTCTCTTTTGTTTGTTCATTTTTGTGCTTTATATGTTTACTCAATGTTTTTGTCTGCTTCCTTCTCTCATATTTGTGACTTCGTGCTTTCAAGCTTGAATCTTTCTCTCTGTGTTGTTCTATTCCGAAAAAATTGATATAGTGTTCCCTTTGGAAGTTTCGTCTTTTAGGTATGGATATACTTCCATGTGCAACCGCTTTTTAGTTTCTTATGTGGTTAGTGAAGCATGAGTTTTTTTGCTACGAAATATTCATCCTCAGTTATCACAAAGCTGCACCACGGAACAAATTAGTTACAAGCAGGAAGCTTTTTTGGCGATTGACTTCTTCTTGAAGCAGTTAACTTTCCGTTGATTCCTTTTGTTGCATTCAATATGATCTGTTCTCCACATTGTTTAGGTGCCAGTGAGTGAGTGGTCTTGGTAGGTATTGCATGGGGCAAGATCCTCCTTGCCTTAGTACTGCACACAAAATGACTGCTTTATGAGTAGGAGGTTTTTTTTTTGTTTCAAACTTTGTATTAGTGTTAGTCCTGCATTGCATACCGTATCTTCTGAGAAGGCATGCTTATTAATAATGTTGGGGGAGTAAAATAATTGGGAAGAGGTTTTCGCTTTTCATCCATGGAATATGGAAGAGTGCTAAATGCACTAATTGGAGGTCTGAAGAGGATATGGTGTTTGATTAAAGGTTAAATTGCTAGCTGTATGCCAGATTCTACTTTGGTATCATTGCTATCTATTTTATTCCTTCTCTGATCTTGAAATGAAAGTATAAGATGATATTGAACCGTCCCGAAGGAGAAAGAGAAGTGCGAGTGCTTCTTGATACTGCCAGTGGTTGGTTGGATAGGATATTCAGGGGAGGCTAAAAGCTGCTAGAAACCACACTTTCTGGTTCGGAGGAAAATGTGATTGATAGTACAATATCAGTGTTTTAGTAGTTAGCTTCGTAACCTAACTACGTTAACTACTCTTTTAAAGAAACTAGCTTAGAAGGAGGATTGAAGTTTGTAGTAACAAAACAATTCCTTCTTTAGGTTAGGTTGTGCAATGAGCTGCAATTTCTCCTTTCCAGTTGCCATTCATCAATAATCTTTGGTCGTACCTTAGGAATATGTTCATACTTCTCCTGATTCAGGAATGTGAGTTAAATCCATTAGGATTTAGGAAAAGTTTTAGAATGGTTTCTTTTTTCATGTAGGTTCCATGTTTGTGTTATCTTTCTAATTACATAAGTTTTCAGTCATTAGGTTTAGGCACCTAGTAGTCCTAGTAGCTTAAGGAATAATCCTGGAAAGGTTCTGCTGTAGTTTTTATTTGGATTTTATTAATACAATTTCAGCTTCTACAGCTTTGACTCAGTGTTTTAAATCCCTATAGCTACGGTTTGTTCTTGTTCCTGTAGTTTGATTCAGTCTCTTGTCCAATCAGCTTCCTTGTAATTTCCTTTTATTTCAAAAAATTGTATTTGTTTTCCTGATTTAACCCAATTAATTTGCAGGTTGGGAAACGTCTCAGGCAACTGACTAAGCATCCAAGGAAGAGGATCCAGTCTTTGGCGTCCGACGTGGTTGAGATATGGAAGGGTATCATTGTTAAAGAAACAACAAAAAATAAAAAGAATGGGGCCATTGAAAATCAGGGTTCGTTTAAAAGGGAACGAGCTGGTGGAGACTCTGGAGAAGAAAAGAAGGTTCAAAGAGTAAATTCCATCAAAGTGGAGGATTCTGTAAAGTGTGAGCCTGTTCGTGCTGAGTATGATGATAAGAAGAAGATCCAGAAAGTGAGCTCAGTGAAGGTTGAGAGGAATGAACACTCTTATTTGTCAAACTCTGAGAAAATGGTAAAAGTCGAAACTTCATCCTCCACTCAAATAAAAGTTGAGAATGGTGCTACTGTCAAGGCTGAAAAGAGTTATTCTTCAGGGCATGTCAAAGTTGAAAGTATAAAGAAGGAAGATAAGTTATACTCTGATTCTAAGAAGCCTGCTGCAGTTCCTGTTGGTCCACCAAAGCTGACTTCTCTGCCTTATACCAAGGACAAAAACAGAGACAAAATAAGGGAGCTTCTTGCAGAGGCCTTGGGCAAGGTGGCTGGTGAAGTTTATGATGACCTGAGGGAGTCAGTCGATGCATGTGATCCTCTGCGTGTGGCTACAGAAGTGGAATCGGCATTGTTTGCCAAGTGGGGTTTATTTAATGGAGCCCAGAAGGTGAGATATAGGTCCATCATGTTCAATATCAAGGACCCAAATAACCCGGATTTCCGCAGGAAAGTCCTCCTTGGGCAGTTTCCTCCCAAGGCCATCACTGACTTGAGCCCCGAAGACATGGCAAGTGATGAAAGGCAAAAGCAGAATGAGAAAATTAAGGAGAAAGCATTGTTTGAATGCGAACGTGGAGCTCCGGTGCAGGCAAGTACAGATCAGTTCCAGTGCACGAGATGCAAGAAAAAGGAGACTACTTATTACCAGATGCAGACACGTAGTGCTGATGAACCAATGACTACGTATGTAACGTGTGTGAACTGCGGCAACCGCTGGAAGTTCTGTTAGGACATTTGTTATTTTTTTTTAAATTTTTATGTCATAAAGAGGTAAGCTCACCAGAGCTTTGTGCTGAGAGTAGCTCATTTGTAGTTTAGATTCTTATATTGAATGATATTACGTTTAGGACCTCCCTTGATAGATAGGATGTGTTTTTATTATTGGATACTTTTGCAGTTCACTTTATTGTATTACAGTTGCTGGTTAAACAAATGCACCTCTTCTTCATGAAGCTATCCTCTGGACAGTCAAGGATGCCCTAGCCTAGAAAACCTGTATTTTCTATATTGAGGCAATCTCGAAATATTTTCATCTTCCACTTGATTATACTTGAAGACACAATTCTCATTGTTACAGTTAATTTTCTTGTTGCTTAATAGTACTAAACAAACAGCGGTCTACAGGAGGTTACTTATTTGGCTCAGGGTGGATTTTTGTGGTTAGTTATTCATGCAATGAAGAGTGTTTTGGTTTTTCTTCGGATAAATTCACTAATTACTATATCATTATGCTAATGAATATGAAAATGACCATATTCAGGTCATTACGAGGTTACCATTTAATAAGACTTCTCAATTAGGAATAACAAAGAAGGTCGTAGTAAGGAGGAACGCAATTTTGTCTTATCAAGACTTTTAAGTGAGTGATTATTGTGGTGGATCCCACTCACTAATTAACATTTGCCATGTCGAGTTAATTTTCAAACCACTACCTTCAATTTGCCAAGAAAAAAATCCATAAATTTCTAATTACACTAATAAGTTGTAAACTACTACTAGTAATGCATAATACTTGCATAATGAGAAAGTAATTATTTCAAGTGGTAATGTTTTAAGATAGTGACAATCACTTTAGCAAACTGATCTCAATATTGCATATTTGCATTTCATCTTACATGACTTTTGATAATCGGTATCAAAGTTAGGATCTTCATTCACATTGACTTCCAATAAGTAAATGGTATACGAGATTTTTCTTAAAAAGAGATGAACATCATTACTCAAGAAGTTATTCGTTGAAAATTGGACAAGATTTGATTTGTTAGTCAATAAAATTATAGCTTAAGGGACATAATAGCTATGATTAAAAGATTTGAAGACAGTCTTGTATCCTAGATTGAAGTCAAAGGGGTAAACATTCAAATAATATAGTATGTAGTGATTTTTTTTTCTTTTTTCTTCTTTTTCCGCACCGTCGCATTTAAGTAGTGTATTTTGTTAACAATTCCTTGGTTGACTGAGTTTCATTTGTATTTCCGCTTAGCCTTTTGGAGCTTATGATGATTACTCTCCAGATGGGTTCTGATGAATGGAAGCTAACCAAGAAAAGGAAGTGCAATCAAGCTGAAGATGATGAAGAAAAACAGCCCACAAATTACTTAGATTCCCTTCCTCAGGAACTGGCTGTTGATATCATCTCCAGGCTGCCCATAAAATCCCTCATCCAATCAAGGTTCGTTTGTAAGTTTTGGCAAAACTTGTCATATGATCCACATCTTGTTAGTTTGCATCTGTCCAAGGTTTTGAGCAGCAATTTTCATTATTTCATCTTTCATTGTGATGTCCCAATTAAGAATCAGCTCTACTTTGTTGAATTTTTCAATGAAAAAGATGATGATGGCAGTACTAAATTAGAGAAAGTGAGAAAATTTGATACGCCTTTTTCTTCCTCGATGCCTGAATTTAATGTGATTGGGTCTTGCAATGGTATCCTCTGCCTTGAGAACTCCTTGTTTGAGGAAGGCCTGTATTTGTACAACCCTTTTACTCAGGACTACTCAGAATTGCCTAAATCCACAGTTTATCAGGATCAGTTTGTGATGTATGGATTTGGATTTCATCCCGTTACAAATGAACACAAATTGGTTAGAATCGCTTATTATCCCACCACTTTTGATGTCAACATCGTGGCGCCTTCTCGCCGGTTTGCATTGAGTCGAGATATGAAATCAGATGTCCAAATTTTTACTCTAGGCAGTAACAGATGGAGAAGTATTGGAAGAGCACCTTTTGTGTTTCAGAAAGGGTCGAATCCAGTTCTGCTGAATGGAAGGTTGCATTGGACTACCTGTTACGGGGTGCATCACGGCCGGCCAGCAAACCGGCTTATTGTCTCATTCGATTTAGCAGATGAGACATTCAGAGAGGTTCCGGGTCCTGAATTGAATCATCGCATCAGCAGGCTGAATTACCATCTTGCAGTTTTGGGAGAATATCTGTGTGTTGCTGTGCCTTTGCATCGGGTTCCGGGGACTTTAGATCTTTGGATTATGAGGGAATACAACAGGAAAGAGTCTTGGGTGAAGGAGATCACGGTTGGAGGTTATACTCCTACTTTGAGGACTCAAGAAATTCAGAGATCATATGGGATTTGGAGTCGCGGGAAGATGGTTCGAGTTCTATGCTTGTTACGCGATGGAGAAATCCTTCTGGAGTACAAAGGAGGCTCTCTGGTTTCTTACAATCCAGGAACAGGAATGTTTTTGGATATAACATTTCCTGGACTTCCTCTTCCATCCAAAACCATCATTCATGTTGGCACCCTTAACAGAGTTGCCTCTCCTTCCCAGATACAGATCATTCCCTAATGTTGTGAGCTAGAATGCCTGAAACAATTGTTGGTTTTGGAATACCCTGATTGTTATATACATACAAACTATAATGTACAGGTCCCGATTTTTACTCTTCTTTTTTTTTTTTTTTTTACTAGATATGATAATTGATGGCAAGTTTGTTTCACTTTTTGCTTCATTAGACGCAGCTGCAGTAACTTAGTAGAGAGGGTAATTCAGTTTTAAGCCTAACATTCTTGACCCAAAGAAAAGAAGACTGCTTTTCTGATTCTTGTCGGAGATGAGCAATCTCCAATGAAGCTAGACGATAGATATCGGAACTACATATGAAACAGAAACTACATGAAACTCCGGTCAATTACACTTCCACAGAAACCCTCTTTCTGTGCACATTAGTACGCGGCAGACAGATATATCATCAGATGAGGTCATCACTTGGTGTTGTTCCGATGCACAAAGCAATCCAGTTTGTTCTGTTATGGTTCGTATTCCATGCATCTATTCATGGTGGTGTTGTTGCGACCGATCCTTTTGATTCAAGGACTGAATGTGAAGTGCTGTGATTCCATAAATAGTGTTTTTAGACATGTTTCCAGAAAATGTAATGCAAATCTATGTCATCATGCGAGTTGAGTGTTTTTCAGTTTATCAATCTTTTAGAGCGCAGATGTGAAGGTGGAGGGAGGGAAAGGACTCGAAGAAATCTCATAAGCCTCAAATCAACCAACCAACAAATACTAGTTGACAAGAATGTTCATTAAGCTTACGTCTTCTCGCAAAGCATGGAATTGTATACCACATTAAGTACCAATTTGCCTATTTCTTCCCTCAGTTGTTCAAGATCATTTGATACATTTGTGACCGCTTTGGTGGTGATTACACTTCTAAATCACAAGGCACTATAAACTACAACAGCAACCACAACCATAATATTTTTTCCCTGCATAATAAGCAGTTGTGTATAAATCACGAGTACCGAGATCTAGTTTCCGTTTTCAGAAAGCGAAAATATTCCTGCTGGACCATCTCCCCTCCATTAACTGGATCAAACTTGCACTTATAGAAACTGTTTTCAGAAAGCGAAAATATTCCTGCTGGACCATCTCCCCTCCATTAACTGGATCAAACTTGCACTTATAGAAACTGTCGATGCCATCCCAGATTAAAATTGATCAGGGGAATCCAAAATTGCATCTTTTAGAAGGAATCGACAACAAAAAAACATGCTTGTACGGATCAACCAATACCGCAACTCACACTAGACATTAATTTGAGCAGAAATACCACACTCGGATAAGGCAGGTTAGTTCAGAATCAAGGTGAAAAATCACATGCCTCCCATCCATGCCAACAATGACAACAGTTACTCTGGGAATCAAATTCTGCAATGAAATATGTGGTCTCTGGTAAATCGAACTGTGTGAATGACCACTCTGAAGGAAATACCCCTGAAAATGAAAAATTAACTTCAATTACAATTCTATTCCACTTGGACGATAATAACCTATTGCTTATGTAGAGGACATTATTAGAAATCGTTTCCAGTCTATTATACTAGGATCACTAAGGGCAGAGTTAAAATAGGTAAGATTACAAAAAGAATGGGAAAAGTAGTTTTATGATTCAATTAGAGAAGCAAACTTAAATGGGATGGGATCAGTTTGCAAAGTAGGTACCATTAAAGATACTGAACTGTGGGTGACACCCTTTTGTTTGAATTCTAACTTTTTACTTCGTTCCTATTAAAACAGACACAAAGTTTGGAGGAAGGCTTACAAAAATAAAATGAAGAGATGCGGTTCACAAGGAACATGTGTAAGCCAACATTAAATGTGGTTTGGTTCTGTTGGGTAACACATTTATTTAGAAATGCTCCACTAAAGAATGTTTTCCATTCAATGAATAACAGTTCCAAGGGTGTATATTGCAATTTTCTACGGACTTCATTATGTGAAAGCAAATAGTTTCCATGTTCACAGGAATCAACTTTTCTTTAATTTTGACCCAGAAATGACTGACAGATATTTAAGAGTGCAAGATCAAAAGGGAAAAAGATAATCCACCAACGAGATCTTCTTTCACATTACAACATATTCAGTATAAATAAGAGAGTTGCTTAGTGAGATGCTTAAAAGGAAAACATATTACTAAGGATGCCTTGTACTATAACCACTACACTATTTCATACGCTTACCAATGGTCCCATTGCCTGGAAGAAAAGCACAGATAATGACAACTGATGATAGAATGTTACCTCTTGTAATTGAGAGCCATCCATTGTATTAAAAACTCTCACTAAAGTGCCCCTGGTACTAGCAGTTTTCCAAGCAAAAGGCTATCCATCGTTAATGTAAGGTAAGCTAACTGGGAAATCGTGAGCGAGCTCGATCAGTCTTGTCATATTTAAGCCAAAATCTTCAACACGAACTTGTCCTCCTCGATGAAGACCTGGACTAGCCAGCACAGAGGTGTTTGACTGGTGTGAGAGGCAACAAAGTCCCCTGGGATTAATTAGCTGAAGTCTCTATTTGATGGAGAGGCTTCAGATCCGCAAAATATACGCGTACTATATCTTATGCTCATGGACACAAGCAGCGCGATCCCACCTTAACACCATGAACTTCAGATCTAAATGAAAATTGATCACCAATGCACCGGCTCTGCTGATCATCCCAGATAATAACCTTATTTGGAGGGTACTGGGAGTTGGATTATCACCAACAAGCGCTAAAATGTTGCACTGAAACAGCATCTCCACTATTCTAAATCACCCACCTTTGAGATCGCGTCTAAAAGTTTCTTTAAATGGATCACAGTTATAAATGTGAAAACCACGGATTCTGCCAGAGGCAAAGCACCCATAGTCTTGATTCCAGGATACAGACAGCACTTCTGCATTCTCATTGTCTTTAATATATGGTTCAGGATGGCAGAAAGGCCTAGAAGCCGCAGAAGCTGAGGAACCATCGGGACTAAAGCCAAAAGGTGGAAGTATTCCCCGAGATGAAGAAACAATAGAACTCATGGGAGACGATGAACCTACGTTCATAAGCAGTAAATGCATCTATAACCTGAAAGACGAATAAAGCCATACAAGAATCGACAAATCAGAATGTTACAGCAGTTCAGTAACTATAGCAAAGCAATAAGAATAATAACCAAAAAACAGCCATATGCTTCTCTGGGCGACACTAATGTAACTCCATTCATAGTTCTGAAAAGTAAACAGATCAAATCTCTACTGACAACTGAAGTCACTCACCTAGAGAGCTGAAAATCTCATATCCTTGCCAATAATTAATTACAGCTAATCAAAACCAAACAGCTAAGAACCTTCCATTCTATATAGCGTTTACGCAAAATAGAAAAGGAAAAAGAAAAAAAGAGCAGAGCCTGGAATCATCAGAACTATGATCAAACAAAAAGGATTCTCGCGAATCCATCTAGAAATCAGAAAGCATAATCAAATAATTCACAATCAACGCGAATAGACTGAAAGAAAAGTCTTACTTAAAAAAAAAAAAAACCCTAAAATCTCAATCCTCAATTATCCAAGAACACAAATGTGTAAATGCATAAATTAAAGTAATTTACATCCAGAGTGGATTTTACCTCAAAAACTGCAAACAGCAACTTAAAGCTGGACTGGAAGAGGGACCTCTCCCCGACTTTTGTTAAGGATTCAGGCTCCCATGTACAATCGATATTCGTCCGTTTTGATCTAATGCTTTGAAGTTGTGAGAAACGGCGCGTTTTGTCAGTACTAAAATGAGAGCATTTTATTATTATTATTATTTTTTTAATTCAATTTTCTCCTTCGGACAGGAGTATTATTCCGTCACTTACCTTTTATTACACCCTCATCGTTAAAATAAAATAAAATAAAAAGTGACCTACGTAGACTATACAAAAACAAAAAAAGTCGATTTCGACAATTTCAAAAAGAAAAAGTCATGTCATTTTTACATTGGTCTCCATAAATCAACGAATACCATAAAGAAAAGAACTTTACAATAGGTATTAAAAAAACACAATGATCAAGTTTTTCAATAAGTTTTTGGACCACATTTAGCTTATAGTTGCTTTTGAAAGCCGATAATCTAGAAATTATACTCCCTCCTTTTTTCTTTTTTTTTTTATAGGTCGTTTTAGGGTTTAGTAAATTGTTTTAAAATATATGTCGTTTTAACAAATCGAGACACATTTGACCACTTTTTTTCTAATATTACCCGTGAATTAGAAATAAACAGTAATGATAATGAATTTTTATTGGTTTGTGATGAATTCTATAGACCATAAGTAAGGGTGTTTTTGTATTTTAATTACATTAATTAATGTTTTCTTGATTTTGATTAATTCTCTAGAAAGACATATAATAAAAAATAGAAGGAGTAGTAAAGTTCTTAACATATTAAATTCAATCTACATCTATTTTCACATTGGTCATATAACATGGACATGATAATTTATTACTCCCTCCGTCCCATAATTATTGTCCAGTTTGAATTTTCATTTTTAGTTCAAATTATACTAAAAGTGAAATCTCAAACTGGACAATAATTTTAGGACAGAGGGAGTATATTACGTCTTATGTATATTTAAATTCATTAGATTTTAAAGCAAATGAATAAGTTATTACATTTTATAATGAAAATTTAAAAAATTAAAATTCATGTAAGTATATATTATTTAGCACACAAATAATATATAGGAAAATTTAAAACGATGAATTAGCACACAATTATGCCATAAAATAAATAGGAAAAATGATAGTATAAAAAAATAATTTTTGGCCGTTGTCGAAAAATGATGTTTTCTAAGGCTCGAAAATGAAGATTTCAACAGAAAAGAAAAGAAAAAAAAAATCCTTTTTACATTTGGTTTTTTATTTGGACCTTGTAGCTATTTTTTGGGGCAAGAATTAATTTTCTTCATCTTCTGGTTTTGGTATTGAATCCTCCCTTTCCTTATTTAATTAGGGAAATCCTTAGGCTCTGTTTGGTTGCATTGAATTGGGACCAAGAATTGGAATTGGAGCTTTTTAATTCCATATTCTTGTGTTTGGTTGGTAAAAATAGAGGTCCAAGAATTGAAATTATAATCCACAGGATTTAAGCAAACACGGAATCTAACAGGACTAATTCAGAACATGAAATATTGCTGAACGCATCCAACAATTTAAAGAAGATAATATTGTGCTCCAACGAAAAAGACAGTACTAATGAAAAATTAAACACGATATTCAATACTCCTTTGAAAAACAAGGGTTTCTGAAACCAGACCTTCGTTGAAGGATGAAGGTCTCAATTAGCATGGCCCTTCCCCAAACTCCCGCCTTCTTTGCCCTTTTCGTCACTGCCGCCACTGAAAACATTGCTTACGGCGCCGATGCAGCGGTTGCCAATGTTGCTCAAAGCGTCCATCCTAACAAAAAGGGGAGAGAACTTTCAGAAACAAATTGCAAAAAATAATTCGTACTTAAAATATGAGGATCCGGTCAGAGATGAGATCCGTACGTTTTGTCGAAAATCTCTGGCTCTGTGCTGCTGGTACCACCGTCATTGCTTACGGCGCCGATGCAGCGGTTGCCAATGTTGCTCAAAGCGTCCATCCTAACAAAAAAAGGAGAGAACTTTCAGAAACAAATTGGAAAAAACAATTCGTACTTAAAATATGAGGATCCGGTCAGAGATGAGATCCGTACGTTTTGTCGAAAATCCCTGGCTCTGTGCTGCTGGTACCACCGTCATTGCTTACGGCGCCGATGCAGCGGTTGCCAATGTTGCTCAAAGCGTCCATCCTAACAAAAAAAGGAGAGAACTTTCAGAAACAAATTGGAAAAAACAATTCGTACTTAAAATATGAGGATCCGGTCAGAGATGAGATCCGTACGTTTTGTCGAAAATCCCTGGCTCTGTGCTGCTGGTACCACCGTTGCCGACGCCGATGCCGATAAGAATCCCAAGAACAAAACCCCTCGAGAGCCTACTCACAATGATCTCCTTATCCATATTCTGGAGAGATACAAAGAGGAGATGACCGTGAACGATTAACAGAAACTAGGATCGATGTAGGAGGAAAACAAATTTGATTATCAGCAGAATTTTGGATTTTATAAAGGGGATTAGGCTCTTGCGTGCTACTCTAGATTTTATAGGCTATAGTTGAGGTATTAATTCAAGTCCGGGAAATATCTACTGCATAAAAGTGTCATGGGCCGTTAAAATATTGGAGTATAAAATATTTGGATCTCGACAAGGGTCCAGTTAGTATTTACCATTTGGTCCAAATACACTAGTTTACCTAACCCAAGAAAAAGACCAACTCTTTATGTTTTGGCTAACTCTCTCATAGAGGTGCTTACCATGAGATGTCAACTCTAAATATTAATCATTTTTGTCGATGGTAGATACCAAACAATAAAAAATAAAATAAAAATTAATTGGTTCTTTTCAATTAATTTTTAATTATTTTATCCTTCCGTCTATAAATCCATCAAAAATCGAACATCCTGACAAATCCACCCAACTACTTCTTAATCCTCGTCCATAAGGTTACATCATCCTATTCCTATGTAAATATTGTTCTCTAAAATAAAGTTTTGTTAAAATGGTTTTTTTAAGGTTATCATTGGGATGAAAATAAACATAAATGACAAAAACTCATGTTTTACTCCCTCCGTCCCATAATTATTGTTCAGTTTGAATTTTCATTTCTAGTTCAAATTATACTAAACGTGAATTCTCAAATTGAATAATAATTTTGGAACATAGGAAGTATAAGTTTCCCTCGATAAGGTATAACTTTTATGGACTTTATTGTTGGCGTCATTCTAAGGTCATTTTTGGGATACACAATAAATTCCTAATGATTGATTAAGCATGAAAAATAATCCCAAGAGTAACACAATCATACGGAAAAAAAAAAGAAGAAGAAAAAAGAAACACAACAATTTCATATGGGTTCACGTTGCATGGATGCATGCAGAATCACCGAAGCCGAATCAACAAAATTGAAAATTGAAGTGGACCCAACTCTATGTTACCAATCAATATAATTTTCTTTTCTTGAAATTAGAGAAATCTTATTGTTAAACCAAAATTAGGATACGCGGCAATATTTGTTAATTACTGTTTTTACCATACAATACCTTTATGGCTTCGCTGTCATCTTACAGGAGATCTAGGATGAAAATATAGAAGGGACCACATTAATTAATATAATAATACCAAAGTGAAGAAAATACTCTTTCCGTATTGTAATGGTTGTTCAGTTG